GGCCAAACCCAAGACGGCCAAAGCTAAGAAAGCGGCTCCCAAGAAGAAGTGAGCGATCGACCCTCGAGTTAATTTCCTACAAACCCAAAGGCTCTTCTAAGAGCCACCAGCCCTTCCGAGAGAGAGCGCAGACTTTCCCTTTTCACCGCTTGAAAGCGCCGGTTCGCTCGATATGGGGGGAATAGTTACTTTGCACAATGGGGGGTATTGAGTTTTAGCGGTTAAAGTATCTTTTTCTTGAAACTGAAATACGATATTTAGTCGAATTGGGTAAACTATTGTACAAATATAAATACTATTGTAAATAATGGGTGCATAGGGAAGATTTTGTAGAATTATAAGGGGGCCTTTTCGTTAAGAATGAAGCTTTCTAATCGTCACTGAACTACGCAGCGACTTTTTGTATCTCATCACCAACAATGATTTTAGTTGAGGCGAAATGTAACATTGTTACATTGCACGTAGGTTTTCCTTGGAGTACGTGACTTGCAATTCGTGACTGCTAGTCTCGCAGCTAAAGCGGACATGTGAAAAGGCGTAACGTGACAACTTGATCACTCTAATAGCGACAATGGTGACTTTTCAATATCGAGCCCTCGCAGGCGGGTGATCTAGATTCTTTTGGGAGTTGAGCTTAATTCCACTCAAGGTAGCGTGTTAAGACGTGGTTACTGAGAGACGGTGGTGAAATACACTAAAATATACATTTTTTAAAGCATGAAAATGACCGATTAAGCAATGTGTTTTTTACACATTGTTGTCTCTCTTTATTTTCTTATGCAACTGTATTGTTTTTTACCACTTACCGTCCGAGAGCTACCTAAATAGCATTTCGTTATTCCATTTACCTGTGTATGAGAATAATGATGATAAGCTTGAAATTTGAAAACTCATTTGTCCTCACTCGGCAGCAGAGCCGCGCTCTGTGTTCAGAGTCCGAATTTCCCTCCTGCCTGTTGATTGGTGGAGACCGAGAGCGCTGGTTGGCAACACTGATCTCTGATTGGGTGGAGAGCTTGTTCCGGTCCA